CCCCCCCCCCCCAAAAAAAAAGAGGGTGGGAATGTTCGTGTGTCATACACTGAATATAGCTATTTTTGATCTCCGGAAACCCCACCCCGCGTGTCCTGTTTTCACCAAAACCAGGCTTTTTGACAAAAATGAGGCACACAGAGGGTTTGGGAGGCCTGCAGAGTATTCCTAGGGGATGAGGAGGGTAGAAACGCAATGCATGGGATGTTTTTGCCCTCCCCAGCCCCCAAGAGCACTCTGCAGGCATCCTAAACCATCTGCGTGACCCGCTTTTGCAAAAAACGGGCCTCCCAACCCATCCCCCAGCATTTCATATTTGCTCTCTCCAACCCCCAGGACCACTCTGCAGGCCTCCCAAACCCTATACGTGCCCCATTTTTGCAAAAAACTGGACACACAGAGTTTTGGAGGCCTGCAGAGTACTCCTGGGGGCCGGGGAAGGCAATAACATTTTTTTCTTGTTTACCTCTTTTAAATCTTGGTCCTTCTTATACTCCGGTGCATCTTATAGTCCGAAAAATATGGTATTTGTCTTTGTATTTTTTGTTATTTTTTAACTTGTCCTATTATTCCCTTCCCTTATATTAGTTTATATTTTAATGCTTTTAAAAAAATCACAATTAAGCAACCATTATGCAGTACAATGTGGTAACCCAGTTGGTATCAGAGAACTTTGTATGTTTTAGCAGACAGCAATCAATGTTAAGACTGCTGTGAAACATGCCTTAGAATAAGGTAAATTTTATTTTGGTTATCACAGAGCCAAACACATTTTTAAGATGCAGCTGGTTTCCCACACAATATGCAACATGGCTCTTTGCTTATTTATTTGATTTGCCTAACTGCAAAACCATTCAAGGTAACACTCACAAATATAAACAGTATCTTACAAGAAACCAACAATCGATTTTTTTTTTTAAAAAATGTGCATTAGTTTGCAGGCTCACATATCACCCTGCTCCAGGCCCTATCAGAAAGGGTTTAAACTGCCCAGAGTCACCTTAGAAGGGAGGTGGCCAACATAAAAATGTAACAAATAAATAAAATAAAGATTTTATAAAAGAGAGCAGGGCTCAGCATTACGTGACTTGAGCTATTAGATACAGGCAGATGAAAAAATGATCTCATATTGACTAACATGTACACCAGGGGTGTCAAACTGGCAGCCTGTGGGGCGGATGCGTCACGTGTAAACCCCACCCACCCCAGCTCCGCGAAGGGAAAAAACCTTGTGATATATGACACCACAAGTTTTACACCTGTGGATGTATAGGCATTTGCTAGAAGCAATTCAAATCCAAAGCCAAGATGCTCCTTATTATATAATGAAATACAAGTTGTACATCCACCTGTTCTTTAGACACACAAAAGCTCTGCATACCCACCCAAGGCCCACCCCAGCTATACCTTGCAGTTAATGGATTCCTTTATGCTGACGGGAACTCCATAGAGCAAGCCCTTTTCTCCTTCACTGTTCATATGCAGAAGCTGGGATTCATTCTCGGCTAAGTAATCGACTATGCAGTTGACATCTGCAGTCACTTTCAAGGCCTAGAAAAAGCAGGGAAAGACAGCCCCTTTTATTCTCCTGTGAAATGATGCCTGCCTTTACAAAGAGGAGGAAAAAAAACAGAAATTTGAAGGAAAGTCTATTTGCTCTACTAAACTACCTCATGTCTGAAGACAATTGTTTCCTCTACCTCTTTATTTTCTCTTGTGAGTTGTGTTACCCTTTTCTTTTTCTCAACAAGGTAACTAATTCTCTTCTACATGGGCATTATTGTTCAATGCCAATGATTCTCATATCTAAAGACTGGAGTTTCCCAATGTAGAAGATAAGTAGGTTCTGAATATTCCTGGGTAAAAATTTTCACCCAGCAGGTATATATCAGTGCCAGAGGGTTAAAAAAAATTGCTTCACACTTCCCTCTTTTGGTCAAGAGGTTGAAGAAAAACTGACTGAATGACTCTTTGAATCAGGGTCAGCTCTTAATGCTTTACAATCACATTTAACAGCTGGTTTGGGTAACAATATGGAATATTACTACTGTCTTCTTCTAGGATATTTTTTCAATTTGCCTAACTAGCTTATAGCCCTAAGTTTTCCTGTTGGTCTCCGATCCAAATACTAAAACCAGGTTTCACTCTGCTGAAGAATAGGTGGTCTGACCCCGCCTCCGTCCGGTGATTAATGCCGACACAGGCTTAGTAATTTGCCACTCTTTATTTACACAATTACAATCCTGTTGGCTGAAAGCCCAACACGACTCACTGGCAAGGCGTTGGCAGCAACCCAGATTGCCACAGACAAGAGATACAAGACAAACAAGAGCTTCTCCAGCTTGTTATGAACGGTTGTGTCCTACAAAAGGACACAAAAACGGTTGTGTCCTCCTCCCAAAGTCTCTTCTTGTATACTCTCTTGGGAGGAGCCAAGCCACAATCACCTGGGCTTGATTATCTCTTATGTAACTGCTGCCTCCGTTTCTCCACCCTTCTTTGCCTGGCGTCAGGGACAAGCTCCCTTTGATCTTCCCCACTGCTCCATGCCTCAGGCGCCTCTGGGTGGCTAACCAGCCTCTCTGGTCCCTGAACCTGCCCAGGATCCTCCACATCTTCCATAGCCAACTCATAGGGTCCCTCGCTATCGGAGTCCATTGGCAGCTCCAACGACAAGTAGGTATTGCTACTTTGGATCTATTTCTGGTATAGGCCAATTTCTTCTTCCTTACTAGAAGTTTCACTTTTGTGTATTTATTATCACTTTATGAGAAATAAAGAAGAATCGAGAAGATTAATAGATTTAAGACTTGAAAAGATTACCTGATGTTGGCTTTTTTGGGAAACAAACTACTCTGTTTCCTTGAAAATAAGACCTCCCCAGATAATAAGCCCAATCGGACTTTTGAGCGCATGTGCTAAAATAAGCCCTCCCCAAAAATATTGCAACACCGCAGCAGCCATGAGCAGACCACGATCGCCGCTTCCTGCACCTCAAAAATAATGACCTCCCCAAAAAGTGCTTATTTCAGAGGTCAAAAGAAAATAAGACCCTGTCTTATTTTCAGGGAAACATGGTATATACACCTATTTTGGAGTATTAGCCTAATGAGTATTAACTCAATGAGTGTTTTTTTCCCTCTGAATAATTTGCTGGAGAATCTGTTTATGAAGTTTATTGTTACACTGATAAAATGCTTTCTATGCAAGAGAGATAAAATTTTCTGTCACTATTGAGACCCTTATAACAGCAACAGGAAATATGACCCACAAGAAAAATGCAGATTCCTAAAACAATTTTCAAATCTA